CATTTGTAGCTCGAGAAAGCAATGCGATTTACAACTTGGCCGAAAAGTGGCTGACACCATTAAGGTTTTTATCCCCTCGTATAATGGTAGGATTATACCAGTAGTTCCAAAAATCTTTACTTTGTGCAGAGCAAGACTGCGAGCCTGTAGTGTTCTTCCGGTCACAGAGGACGAGGAAATAATGCGACAAAGAGAGGTAACGAGATTCCTCCGACCATCGATGACTGCTCGACTGTTTTAAACCGGAGCGGATCCGGAAAACCAGTTAAGAACGAACAAACGAGAGTTACGGGACGAGGGAGCAGCCACTGGCTCCTCGATCAACGATCGCGCAGATCCGACTTAATCCGCGACTTAGTTAACACCGTGGAAAAGCCGTGGCACATCCTGGGAGACATCCGGCTAAAGCTTCTGCCTCCTCCCTCTCCGGTTCATCCCGTCCGCCTCGGTCGTTCCTCGGTTTACCCGGTTCAAGTTGACGCATACATTTCCTCCCCTGACTACGAGGGAGCCACTAATTTGACTCGTTTTGGGTACACGAACGCCACTTATGGGGAACGATTGATTCAAGTTAATTACAGAGGATAACCGACTGTTTTACAAGGGTCTGATACTTCAACGATATGCTTTACATATGAATTAAGAATTACGTTATTAATTATCTCAAATATTTACATTAACCGATCAAGAGATTAATTATTAGAAAAATGTTTTGACGATTTTTTGGTATTCACCCGGAAGTTCTATCTTTTTAAAAATCGTTTCCAGGAGGAACAACAAAGAAGGTGAATGGACGATATTGCGAACTTTCTCCCATGGATAGACATCAGAAGGGCTCATTACGTCACCGAATAACCGGGAGACAAGGCAGCAACAGAAAATTCTTCGCCTGCGACGCGAATACTTTAATCGAGCCGAGAGATCCCGACTGGGTAAGGTCAGGGGTTAATTCGATAATTTCGATTAATTTTACGAGAAGAAGATTATTCCCTTAGCCGTAACGACCGCGACCAACCCCCTCGCTGCGCTGCACTACCGGCAAAATTGAATTTAACGAATAACGCGGAGTTCCGACGAATCCCATTAAGCCTCAACCGTCAACGATTCCGCTTTTAATTAATTGTCGCAGAACGAGCCGTCGCGACTCAACGCTGTTTTAACTGATTTGTCGATAAATAGTGTGTGTTTACTGGAATGTCAAATCAGCTCGCAATTAGCTAACGCAACGGGGATATTTCTATTAGCAAATAATAAAAGTCTCTTTAACCCACGGAATTATTCGATCATTTTAGTGTTTACTAATTATTTGACAAGCGTGGCGCACGTTTATTGAAGTATCCTATCTCCGAAGCACGTTTAATACCCGCTAACGATTAAGGTGCCTTAGCTTTCATTGCGGGACGAGTTTCTGCATTTACGGTATCAACGTGAGACGCTGTCTAATTACGAACAGTAAATTCTAACCCTAGAGACGATTCTGCGTAAGATCAAGCAATCAGAACGTGCATTATCATAGACTGCCGCGGAGAACACTTACGCGTAATATGTTTATCGAGGTGTACGTACGCAAGTTGCTTGACTGATAAATCGTCCGGCACGCTAACGCGATAACCGTCTCCGGCAGAAAATTAAGAGAGATCGACCCGAGAGAAAAGACAAAGAGGTAGAATGAAAAATTCCCGGTTTATCGGCGGCGAAATCCCTTATCGTTCCGCGCGGATACGTGAAAGAAAGAGAGAGGGAGAGAGAGGGAAAGAGAGAGAGAGAGAGAACCGACGTTATCGGAATTGAACAAGGCCGTGAGCTCGCTGCCTGATACGTGATACGTGCGCGCCAGCGTTGTACGTATGTCGTCGCAGCGTGGCGAAAAATTTCGTATTTTATCGCGTGACGACGAACCTAGGCTACGATTCTGTCGGCTAATCGAATTCCTTCGCCAAATAGAATCAAACGAAATTTTTAACCACAACTATCTAGACAGTTATTTTTTCATTTCATGTCAAACAAGAATCCAATTATTGAAAAGAAGTCAAGTACTTTCAAACCAGATATCTGGACTTCGCTTTCAGGTTCGTTCTGACGTCAATGAGGTGGACAAAAATATTAATCAACGATTTGCAGTGAACGCGTTCGTGGAATGATCGGCGACGAAGAAGAGAAGGAGACCGCCTGGCCGCACCTGCTCGCCGAAGGTCTCCGGAGGCGATTACGCCACGGCTCAGGAAACAATTAGGGCCGATGATACACGTCCGACCGCTGTATCGCGTGCGCTCACCCGATCGGCAACCCCTTAAAACGGAGCGTCGAAGCGGCTCAGCGCGGGCGTGCTAATTCGAACAGCTCGACGCGCTCGACTCTTCCTGATTGCCAACGAACCTTTTGCGAAACGCTGCTGTCAATCGATCTCGATTACTCGCGGGACTTGGACGACTCGATGTCAATAGTCAAATCGTTTTCTATCATAATTTTATTGAACCAGAATCTATAATTAATCAACACATTTTTATAGAGAAACGAATATCCAGATAA